CCCCTCACCTGCCCCCACCACCGCCCCCTCCCCGCCGCTGACGAGAACCCTGTGAAGCAGCCCCGCCCACACAGCCTGTCCTGTGGGGACAGCGTGGACTCTACAGCGCCTGTTAGGGCACCTCTTCATTCTTTGATCAAAGCATAAAGTTTTCCTTTGCTTCTGAGCCAAACTTAGCCTTGTTCTATTGGCTCAAACACCAGGCAGAAGGACCCTGCTTGGGGACTGATGGGGGAGGGTGGGTAACACTTTCTGTCATGTATTATTGCTATTTTATATTTTAGCCGATATACTATTTTCCACATTAGTATCTTCCTTGTGAGACTATGAAGCCCTGAGGAAATAGTTCCTAATTCATCTTCAGATTTACCCACCAATCAGCACGGAATCAGTTATTTAGTATTTAGTATGTGCTTGATTGGTGGTAGACGAGGATTAGTCTTACTGAGAATTCTGACATTCAGGGATAGCTTATTTGAAAACTAAGGGAACATACCTTAGAAGAGGAGACTCTCCGAGATGTTAACCTCACAGGTAGAGCAGTGCTTCTCAGTCAGGACTAGCTTGTCCCGCAGGGGATATCTGGCAATGCCTGGAGACATTAATGCTTGTTACGACTCGAGGTAGGGGTGCTCCTAATTTCCAGTGGTTAGAGGCCAGGGATGCTGCCAAACATCGTACAATGCCTAGGACAGCCCCATGCCCCACCCCTCCACAACAAAGAATTAACTAGTCCAAAATGTCAGTAGTACCAAGGTTGAGAAACACTGAACTAGAGTTTCCTCTGATCAAAGACTTTTTCTTGCTGACTTAAGCAAGAAAACCTCTGGACTTCAGTTACTGATACCAACTGCTGGTGCCCGAGGTACAATTTGTTCTGCTATAGCAATTCTCCACTTAGTTCTTTTAATAACAGAACATCTTGACCTTTAACTGGGCCCTCGACTATCAACTAGAGGCTATAACTCATCTTCTCTGGTAGGCAAGACTGAGGCTGGAACTAAATTCTAGCCAGCTGAAAAGAGTGGAAATGCTGTGTGCTTCATGTCTTTAAAAAGGAAGACCTTCATACTCTTTATTCTTTCCTTCCTACAAATTATCACATGGATGTGGAGGGTACGAATGATATTTGTGCAGATATGAATAAAATTGCAGGGAATGCACAGCCATGGGATAGCAGAAACTTGGTTCCATAGAGCAAAGTCACCTACCTATCTTGTACTGCCTGTTTCCTATCGGCCAGTCACATATGAAAAAAGCAAACTTCTTTGAACCTTTTGAGTAGCAGTTTAGTTTTTACTCTGCCTAATACAAACCAGATTCAGTTTTTGTTGTTCTGGATGATAGCTGTGAGTGGATAGCTCTATGAGACAGTCACACCTACATGGTTTAGTATGCTGTAGACAGGACTAGTTAAAACAGATGAATGCATGATGTTGGCAGACAGGAGGAAACAGACCATGTCTCAAAAGAGACCGTATTACTTGTGCACATTCTCCTTAGTAGCAGTCAACTAGCTTATGGATCATGTAAACTGTGAAACATGGTAGAAGTTGAGGTTAACTCTACTTTTTAAGTCAAAGGATTTGGATTATGCATTAACTTTTTCCGCCATATTGATATTGCTTTTAATTTCCTTGTTTACAAGCTTAAGAGGTATGATTAGGATAGATGGCCACCTAGTAGAAAAAATTTCTCCAGTTTCCTGGGGAAATGTTCTATAGGAAAGAGATGGCCATTTGACTCTTAGAGATGGTAGGAATAATGCAGATGTCCTATTTAGCAATTTGAGGGAAAGGTGGGGAGTAAATAAAACTTTTAAATACCGCATGCCTGATATTCTGCTTTATTCCTTTTGTTGTGGGATGTAATTTAGGGAAAATAATCATTGTTTTTTTTCTTGCTACATGCTCTGGTTGTTGCCCCTGATTTCCACCCATCAAATAAGTGGCTTTCATCCTCTTGGGAAAGGCCATACAGAACCGAGAAAGGGGAAATCAATTGAATTCCTGGAGAGATACATTAAAACTCCTATGAGGCAGGCATTTTGCAAGCCAAGCCTTTTACAAACTGAGCTATTTGAGATCACAGAGGATTTCTGAGCTACAAAAGACTGAGCCTCTGGAGACATTTGGACAGGAGTTGCTGAGATAAAAGTACTTTCTCACAAGAAAGGAGATGGAGTTTAGTAAGTGAGAGGGGAAAGTGATATCTGAGGGGAAGGGGCTGGAGTTTGGAAACTGAGGGTGACTGAGATGGCATATTGGGCCCCACCCTCAGCCCAGCCAAGCTCTGAATGGGGTAAATGCAGACCACAGAGAGATTTGGTAGGGATCTTGGGTCAGAGGAGACAAGTTTTCCTCATGAAGCCTAAAGGAGTATGCGCCTCGAGAATAAGTCCTCTCAATGTACATGTTCCCAACCAAAGGCATCATCGTCTAGCAGCAGAACGGTAGAATCAGAGATGTTCCATCAGAGATGGCCACAGAAACCCTACCCCAAGTCTCTCATCATTTGGGCCTAGCACAGAAGGACTTTCAAAATTTTCTGTGTCCCTGAAAAGAGGCACGGGAGAGCTGATTGGGTATTTGGACAGACCTTACAAGGGGGATGAGTAAGATGTGAAGTGACCTTAGACATGGCAGAGGGAAAGTAGAGGGGGATGCGGACATTACAGCAGTGGGTATAAGTGGGCTGGAGGTTCATGAACAAATGGCAGTCGACCCTAGCACAGCACTAAGAGAAAATGCCCCTCAACATACACCAATGTACACTGGATTGCTTCCGAAAAGAGGAGACAGCAATGGAAATCTGGAATTGACTATTTACCCAAAAGAAACAGAGAAACGTTTCATAAGCCTTCTGCACAAACACACAGTGATCTCCAGTGGAAGGAGGTGAGAAATCCTTCATTTGTCCACAGTATCTTGCCCAGTAATGGAATGTTTTGAAGAATGGACTCAATAGTTTTCGAATTCTAAGTGCTAAAAATGGACAAGTAAATGGAAAAGCAAATATTCTTTGAAGGGGGCATAGAGGGATAAACATGGTAGGGTAAATTTTGGTGATATCTGAAATCTTTACCTTCCCCAAAGTCCTGATGCCCCGATCATGGAATGCAGGCATTTATTGCCACAGTGGGGGAGTCAATAGAGATGAAAATAAATTGTCAATTGGTTCCTACATCCTGTTAAAAACAAATCCTCATTGCACAAATATGAATACTGAAAAACAAGGCTTACTAGTGCAAGAGCCAGAGTGGTGAGAAACAAAGGATATTAAAGGAGCAAATTTCTAAAATGCAAAGATTACCAAGCTTTGAGGTTAGCAACCATAGAGGAAGAATACATGATAATTTAAGAGTTTTCTCAGTCAAAAGAGACAGAAGTTCAACCTGTGGTTAGGAGAGGGAGTCTCACAGGACACAGGGCCAGACCTCAGAAGTTTATATGTATCTGAGAATAGAAGCTTTCAGCTTTTCTCCCCACCTGCACCGATCCCACAGCTCTGTGCAATAAAAAAAAAAAATAGAATTAGTGCCATAGGAGTGATATAAACTACATACTCTGGGTTACCAGGCTCACAAAAACAGCCACAGCTTATATTAAGAGTCAGGTGTCAAGCTGAATAAAAACATTAAAACACCTGTGAGGAAAGTTTAATTATGAAGTTTTCAAATGTATGAAGAATACAGAAACAAAAAGATACCAGTGTACTTTCTTCCAAAATTTACCAAAAAATTTTAAATGTGCCTTATTTTCATTAGATTTTTTAAAAATTAAATTTAATTAATTCAGCTGCACCCCTATTCTGTACCATTTGGTTTTTCTCTTAAAAAAAAAGTGTTAGGTTAAGCATAGACGTGACTCCTAAGGCAAAAGGTGAAGAAAAGATACTGGAGCTTCAGAGCCAGGCTGTGAAGACTACACCTGAGTCTGGGCCTGGGGCTGGGCCTGGGTTTGGTTTGGGTCTGGGACTGGGTCTTAGGCTAAACTTGGGGCTGGGACAAGGCCTAATCTTGGGCCTGGGTTTAGGACTGTGCCAGGTTCTGCGCTAGAAGTGGACCTAGAGATTACACTGGAGCTGGGGCTGGGCCTGGGGTTGGGCCAGGGCTGAAGCTTTCAGTTTGTGTGCATAGGAGGAAGTCAGGGCTGCCGCAGAGCTGCGGAGGTTTGCTCCTGATTAAGTTAGTAGATAACAAGAGTTGTAACTAGTCTGGC